CCCCCCCCCCCCCCCCGGGCCCCCCGGCGTTTTTTTTTTTTTTTTTTCATGTTGCGACGCCCGGGGGGAACCCTTACCCCCTCCACACCTTTGAAGGACCCCCCCCCCCCCCCCCCCCCCTCCCCCCCCCCTCCCCCCCTCCAGACCTTTCGGACCGTCCAAGAGAACGTTCTTCAGCGACCGCTTCAACCTCGGGGGGCCGATGACGCTCCGCGGGTTCCCCTTCTACGGGGCCGGACCTCGGTCACCGAAGGAGGAAGGGGGCTGCGAGGGGGGCGACGCTCTCGGAGGAGACATCAGATACACCGGTACGTGGGGTCGGTCGGTCGTAGGAGGACGCGGGGTAACGGGGGCGACGCACGCGCGTACTGTTGTAGGACGGGGTGTATCGGATACCCTGGCGTGCGTGCGTGTGGATCGTGCGGCGGGTTTGATTGAGAGACTGCAGAACACCCCCCCTCGATTGACCATCGGCGATCGCTAGTAGTCCTGTGGGCACAATGCTCCGTCCTCTCGAGGATGCGTGGTCAACGGTCTAACCGCTAAGGCATGCAAAACATGAGTGCCCCTCCCCCCGTTTTTCGCGCACGACGCCCCCTTCCCGCCGGCAGCCTCGGCGTCCTTAGGGTTTCCTTTTCCCGTGCCGGCGATGGCGACGGCCGGTTGGCGGGGCTACCTCTTCACTAACCTGGGCAACCTCACAACGTGGGACACCCCGTTGAAGCAGTACGGGCGGGACACTAGAGTCTCGGTTGGGGTCGCCGCGGCCTGGAATTTCTTGGGTGGGTGTGGTCTTGCGTACCTTGTTGGTTGTTGTTGTTGTTGTTGTTGTTGTTGTTTGTGTTGCTGTTCAAGGTGCTGTTATGTTGAGTTGGTATAAGGCTTATGGCAACACCCGTCCCGCGCGTTGGTGCAATGGTATCAAGTTTTCCTGCACACCCGTGCACGGCCTTCACCTGCCCGCCTGCTTTTCACCTTTTTTTGTCGACCGACCTTCTTGCTTGTCTGGGGCGTTGATGTCATCATCGTAGTCGTTGTATTCATCACCGCCGTCCCGTCTGAAAGCGTCACCCTTGCCCTCCCTCGTTCTAAACCTTTTTGTGGGCGGGGGGCACCAGGTGTCGGCAGGCTAGAGATCAACTACGCCCACGTGCTGAGACGATCACCTCGCGATCTCCACAGGGAGAGACCTCTTCAGTTTGGCTTCGGCGTTTCGTTCGAGTAGAATGTGGTAGCATGCGTGTAAAAGAGGAAGGGGCGACAGGAAGAGAACAAACGAAGAGCTGGGGGTGGGAGCATGAGAGACGGAGATGATCGGATCGCGCCATGTTTGGTCAGAATAGGTCCTTGACCAGTGCGGGGCGTGAAGGGACGCGGGAGGGGGTAGTGTACGATGTAGAATTGATTGGACGTGATGGTGCTGGCGTGTGTCGTGTGTTTCTCTGGCTTTTAGGGAAAAGTTTGCTTTTGCTTGGAGCGCCTGCATGGCCGAAGCGTGTGTGGAGTTCGTTGTCTTGCGTGACAAGAGTTCTGGGTGTTGAAAAACGCCGGTGGGAGGTCAGCGGCAATATGCCGGGATTGTTTGTTTTTTTTATCGGAGAGAGGAAAGGGAGAGACACGAATGAGTGAACAATTTGTCACCCCCGAGACATCGTTGACGTTGTCTTCGCCCTGATGGGTGTATTCACACGGTAAAACTGCCTCGCTTCTTTGCAGTACCTCCTCTTCTTCCGTCCTCTTGAAAGAAAAAATATTTCCACAACGAAGGTGTGCGAGAAAACCGAGCGGCGTCGTCAAAACATACAAACAGGAAGCCAGAAAGCCAGCCTTGTCGCTAGCCTCAAGCAACAAGAATTTACCCCCTTCCCAATGTTGTTCTAAACGCCTGTTAGTGGTGCTTGTTCCGCCAGGAATTACGATTTCTCTGCCACCGCTGTTTGCTGCTGCTGATTTTTGGCTGGATGCCCACTATGCAGTGCGCGCGCAGCAGAGCTTGATTTGTTTTCCTTGCACACAATGCCAGCCCAATCTCACGCGCCCCTCAAAACCAACAGCGTTGTTCGGGGAGACAGTGCGGGTGGACGGGTGAGACCCCGCCATTCCAGCCACTCCCGTGTTGCCATCGCTTTTCCTCGACAACGCACACACAGAAAGAAAAACGCCTATCCCTTTACAGGAGGGTGTAAGGCATCTGTCTCTACTGCAACTCGCAATCGAAGAACGTACACGCTTCCCCACATAGTAGCAGTTGTGCGTTTCTCGAAGCCCCAAGGGAACGCCAGAGGGCCTTCCTTCCCTTGCAGGTGGAGAGGTTTAGGGTTTCTACAAGGGAGACAAGACCGTCAGACAACTAGCGGTATGTGGTCAATTGTACCAAGGGACAACAGAACACGTTCGAAACAAGTAAGCAAGAAATACCCAACGGAGAAGGACAGACTGACAGGAACACATTCATGTCTGCAACAAGCACCACAGTATTTGCAAGTCTGGAAATCCACGAAATCCAGACAGCCCGGGGGGGGGGGGGGGGGGCCGTATCTTCTCCATGCCCCGAAAAACCCAAAAAGCTTCTCCAGGAAATCTCGGGGACTTCTCCTGCCCTATAAAAGGGAGCAACAGTCCATCGGATACCCCCCGGGTCAACGGACCCCACACAAACCCCGATTTCCCCCTTTCTACCTGTATCGAAAAAAATTCAAAGGCCCCCAAAAACCCCCACCAAAACCCAAAGTACACCCCTAAAAATATGTGTCTTCTCCCTCCGTCTATGCTGCAAGGGTACCGCTACAAATAACCTGCAAGCGGAAATATGATTATCCCCCC